CTAAGGATCCAGTGCATGTAAAGGTGACCACACCATTGCATCTTTTCCTGTAGTATGCAGACTTGTGCTACTCAGCCTCTTTGTATCAAAGCCCTGCTTTGAGCAGGGGGTGGACCAGATAACTTTCAGATGTCTCTTCCAATCTAAATTAATCTCACGTTCTGTGATCAACTGAGATGTTTAGAAGCAGCAACGTTCATTAAATTAGGAGTACCTTCTGCTCCCTCATCTCTGTCAGCAAGAAATCTTTCGATTGCTGAGTACTTTCTCTATTGAAGCACTGAATTCAGTCCTGTGGTGTGTTAATACCACTCTTAATACATTTTTGAATGGAAGGAGAGATCTACAAGGTATAGATGAAAAGCGTGCTGACTAATGGGTTTTCCCCCCTCTGCTTTTTTTTTTTTTTTAACAATTAATTAGAAGAGAAGAAAACTATGCAACAGGAAGATTCTGATGAGGAAGACAAGATACAGCATACTGCGAGATCGTCTTCTGTACAAGCTCAGAGACTTCCCATATTTCCAGGAATGGACCACTCTGTTCTCAAGGTGAACATAGGCAGAACACATGAGATGAGAGTTAAACCGGTTCAGTAGCTGCAGATGCTCTCTAGGAAGAGAGCTAGGAAATTTTGCTGAAGATGACAGTGTTGTTTGGGTGTGGGGTGGGGTGTGTGATGTGTAGAAAAACCACGCAGTTATCTTTCTCACTTTTAACTGTTGGCTAGAACTATTAAGTGATTTGGAAAAAAATTAGCTTCGCAATAGCAAACACGCTTTCAAAACTGCATAGGTTTATAAGGAATCTCTTCACTAATTTCAGGTGTGGATTTTTTAGTTTTTATAAATCTTGAGTGATTTGTTTTGTATTCCAAGAAGAGTCTGAATGCTGGCTTAAAAAGGAGCCCTTTTCTTTATTTTTATATTTAGGCCCAACTGCGGAAAAGACAAGAGTCTGAGAGTCCTGGTGAAATAAATTCTGCTCAGCTGTTCAAATCCCCTAAACCACAACTGCCGCTTGGAACTCCTGGTAGCAGACTGCTGCCCTCCAGTGTAGAGAAGGAGGACAGGTGAGAGACTTCCACCAGTGTCAGAAAAATGCTAATACTCATTTTGGTGGGAGAAAAAAATAATGCAAGTAGGCTTCTCAAGGCTGTAGGGGAAATTGTATATTTCCTTTTTTTGGTTTTGTAATGAGTTTTCATAATTAAAGACTAAAGAGTACTTTTTTTATATCTTAGGTCAGAAGAAAAGTCTCCTCAGTGGCTGAAGGAGCTGAAATCAAAGAAGAGACAGAGCCATTATGAGAATCAGGTTTGAAAAGGTACCTTCCGACAGAAAGAGGGGCTTTTCTAAGTGGAAGTATGCAGTGATAAAAACACACACGGAAAATGTTTCCTTAATGAGTCAGTATAAGAGCTCTGTGAGCATAAACATTGAAGCAGACTTACCGTGAAGCGTGCACCCAGGAATGTAAAGTGATTCTGTGTTGAGGCAGAGCAGTTTTCGTAGAAGTGAAGTTTTCATCCACAGGTGATAGTTTCACTGATTCTCTGCACATAATTTTATTTTAACAACATTCGGTCTGTTTGTGCTGCGATTTCATAGTGGTTCCATCAAGCAAGAATGAGTCTGTCACTGAATAACTGAGGCTTGCACCCATTTTGAAAACCTTGGGGTGTGTTGTTTCAGCAGTATTCTGGGCAGCCCTTGAGCATTTAGTGCATTAAATAGGACGAGACCAAGACGACGCTACAACAGTAATACGCATTTGTGGGAGGTTTCCTGTTACAGACGTTGAGAGGGGTCTGACTGCTTTCTTGACCATGTCATACCATTCCTTCAATTGCTTCTGTTTTTTCTTTCCAGATAGTGATTCTAACTAGAAGAAGATAAAGAAGTTTAACAGAAGCCTTAACTCATCTGAACCTAAAATTCACTTGTCATGTTGCTGCTGTTTGCTTCCTGCCTCAACTGCTATGTGCATGGTGCCTTCCTGTTTTGTGGAGAAAGCTGCTTAATATTCATAGTCAAATACAAAGCTGTATCTTTTCAGATATGGGAGGAGGGTCACTTTAGACCTGCCTGGAAGAAGAACCGGTGGTTCATAGTTAGCACTTCAGAAAGTCTTGAAAGATTGTAATATTTGATCTAGGAGTGCTGTGCACCAGAAAAGTCCCCTCACTGTTGAACAAAGACTACATTTCTACGTAGGTGTTCAGCAACTCAAAAGTATGACTTTTGGTAGACATGTCAGGTGTAAGGCTGGGCTTTGTGTTTGTTTATGAAAATAACAATTTTAATCAAATTTATCTTTTTTTGTGGAAAAAATAGTAAGCTCCTATTTAGAATGAAGTTTGTGGAAGGTGAGAGTGAAAGAACAAATTATGTTTACTGCCATATTGAAAAAGGAAACTTGATTATTTTTTGTAAAATGTATTTTTGATTGGCTTATATTTACACGTGATCTGCTGACCTAGCAGATAAATATAATTTTTAGATGAACAAAATGTTAACTTTTGTCACTCTTGAAATGGTATATTCTGTGTTTTGTCAGCATGTGGAATAATTGCTTCATTGGAATGTCTTTCCTAAAAAGGATCAAGCAATAATGTCAACCAGTTCTCTTTAAAAAAAAAAAAAAAAAAAAAAAAAAAATATAAATTTTTTTTTTAAAAAAAAAAAGGAAGGGAAGAGGGAGGATGTTACACTCATATCAGGGTTCCAGTTAATTGTTGAATGTCACTTTAATAGCAGTTTGGATAGTCCCACTTCATATTTTTATTTGTTAATCTGTAAATACCAGGTTTAAGTTTTTATTTTTATGCTGATTTTGTGGGATAACCTAAATGTGATCTTCAGTTTCTCAGTTGATTTACTTTTCTTCTTTTGGTAAGACCAATGTTATAATAGTGGTATAGATATCTCGTAACACGGGTGTGATGAATATCACTAATATCTCAAATATGTTAATATCTTTGAATACAGATTCTGAAATATGAACCAAGATGTCCATTTAAGACATACTTTATTCTTTCCCCAAATAAGTGCTCTTTTCAGTAAACCTTTAAAAATGTAGCCCAACGAGGGAGGTTATTCTGCCATGTCAGTATGCCTCACGACTTGACTAAGAAAGCAGCAATGTGGGAAAACGAAGCGAGATGGGAGCGTTCTCCTCCCCTGGTGCCCTCCTGTAGCGTGGGGCTGGACAGAGCCTGCCACGGCAGAAGCGCCAGCCGCCCTTGTGCCAGGTGGGTCGGCGTGGCAGCAGTGGGGCTGGAGCAGGAGCAGATGCTGCTCCTCGCATTGCACTTCCCATGTCCTGCTGATGGGCTTCTCTCGATATTAAAGCACCAGCACTTGAACTCATTTTACTTTTTTTTTGTTGTTTTTTTTGGTTTTTTTTGTTTTATGATCAGCGTTTCGGAACGCTTGATTTACGTGGGGTTACCACAATGGTGCATCTGCTAGCCAGAGTGGCATGCCTGGTCTGCTGTCTATCAAGCTTGTAGCTGCCAAAACCATGTGCCAACTCTTCTCATGGAGGAGTCACAGATGAGGTGATTTTTAGTCCCAGTCTGCTCGTAGGAAATAACAGCAGTATGTCAGGAGACAAGTCCCATATGCGCATCTCTCTCCCAGATTTAGTTCCGATAGCAGCTCCCTGTGCTTAATGGAGATGCAGCGAATACTTTTCTCTTATGTGAAAAATCTTTACTTGCTGCTTTGCCCTATTTCACATCAGAGCTGTTGCTGCCGTTACAGTTTTACAGCCTCTTCTGCTACCAATCAAGAAATGATCACCCGAGATCTCTGCCAAGCATTTCATTCTGTGTGGCTTTTAACCCTGGGCGATGGGAGATGGACTGCCACTTGAATGCAGTTGACCAGACTGTTAAAGAGCTCCTCTTAGCTAATTTGAAAAAGTTGCACATATTTTCTTCTTCCCTTTTCTTTAGATGATGGTGGAAAAGGTGACTCTTTAAGATAAGCTTTGCATATGTGTCTTTTGGGATTATTTTTTTTTTTATGGCAGCACTCAAGGGTACCATCAGGTGTACACCATGTGTGACACACACACTTCAGCCAGCCCTGAGCAGCAGCGTTTGCAGGTGTGAGAGAAGAATGACGATTGCTTTTCTTACTGTTACTCAGATGAAGTGGGGCTTACCTTAAACAGTATCTAGAAATTGGTAAATTCCCCCTGCTTACAAGAATATTTACACAGGCATGATTTTTGAATTCAGCAGGTTGACAGTGTTGCATTACCAATAGTTGGAGGATATACTGGTGTTTTGGTCTAACAAATGAAGGCCAGAAATTCTTAACTGCAGTGTTTGCTCTGTGTTTGAGGAAACTGAGGGGATTAATACTAGGTTTCCACAAAGCCCTTTGAATGTGTATGCATTTCCACATCTGCTTGGACAATGCACTGAAACTTACTGTATTTAGTAGTTTAACCTACTACTGAGAAATGTTTAATGCTTAAATGTCTAATTAAAAAGCATCTTTAGAATGTTGTTGAATGGGAAAGTGTTTTTTCTGCTTTATCATTTCTTTATATTGTACATGGATTAAATATCTACTTCCTTCTCTTCAGGTTACCACTATGTAATAAAAGATACATAAATATGTTATTACTTCTTAAATGATAGACCATACTGTAATACACTTTATATAATTCTATATTTTAATTCCAAACAATGCTGCTTGAATTTCTTAAGCTTTTACTTTTGTTGCCACCTACTTATTTTTTGCTGTTAATACGAGATGGGAGTGAGCTCTTAGCTTCAGCACTTTCTTCAGGTATGCTTTTTCATTAAATACTGGAACCTGCCTTGGAGCATGTTTCAACTCTTGTCCTAACAGTGTCTGAGTAATAACAAACATGATGGAGATGCTGGCACTCCCCATGGAGTGCAGAGCCCTCATCCCTTCCATTACAGCTTCTCAGCTTTTTTTGCTTGCTTAAAAAGCTGCATCAGTAGAGTAGTTTGTTTTTTTTAAAAGTGGAAGTATATGGTTTGTGGAATTTAGAAATACTTCTTTTCTGATTGCACTTCTCTTGTTATTACCAGGAATCCTCCCTTCATTTTAGTTTGTCAATTGGGGATTTACACAGCCATTCTGTTTCTTTTTATTGGAATCCCCAGTTGTGGATTTCTTCCTTCTTATTTTTCTGTTTGCAATTTCACCTTTTTAAGATCTGTGTAGCTTTAATTTGAGTCCTTAGCTGTTCAGAGTCTTGCTGCTTTGGTTTTACTTCCTGTAGAGAAAGAGGTAACGTTTCTGTTCTTCAGCCTCTGAAGTCTGGAACCTTTATAAAAAGTGGCCCTGTAGGAATTCACCCCCACACGCCTTTTTGCTTGCAAAAAGGTTTGTTTCACTCTGTTACTTGTTTGCAAACAGTTATTGGCAAACTGTTAAATGCACCCTGGGTCACATTTGTAAACGCAAAGTGTTAATCAGCCATTTCGTCTGGCACACTAGCATCAGTTAGTTTATAACCTTTAATACGTGTGCAAACACACTGAAATATGCCTCCTGTCCTAGGTATTAAACTGATGTGGTTTGATATTAAGGTGATAAATGGAGAGCTGATACACCAAAACAGCTTAGTGGGGATCAGGGCAGTTCTAAGACAAATATCATATAAGTAGTTTAAATACAATGCTTTAAAAGTCTGTGCTTCAGTAAAAGGCACTTCCGCCTCTAAGGCCTTTTCCCCTTACTATTGAAAAAAATCTGGTGCTGATACTACAGTATTGCCCTTAGTATTCCTGCGTGTAGGAAGTGAGAGAACTTTGGCAGACATTTAACTGGATCCTCGGGAGCCAGAGGAACTGCATATCCAGAACTCCTGTGGTCCCAGCCCACAAGTGCTCTGTGTGTGTGGTACCCGCAATGCGGTCAGAGTGAATCCGTGGAGGAGAGCAGGATTGCCAGCAGGGAGTAGGCTGTGTCTGGTTTGTGAAAAATTGTAAAGTCAGCTGAATGTGGTATTTTGGGAGATGGCAGCATGTTGCACACGTGGTGTGGTGGAAGGGGTTTGCTGATCCCTTACTGCAGATACCCAACTTTGAACAGTAAAACCACGCTTTCTCCTGGGATGGTTTGTTGTGCTGGGAGATGGGGTGTGTGTTTCAGCACGCTGCCATGCAGTGTGGCTCTTCCACAGAAGGTGCATCCAGGTACAGAAGCTCCTGGAGCCGTGTTTTCAGCCCTGTTACTGCGGTTGTCAAGCCAGCCACGGTGAATGAAACAAACTGTTCCGGTAAGAGCATAGTGTTGTTGCCGTAACTGCTCGCACGAAGAAGATGCTGTTGGCCAGAGATTGCCATCTTCCCCTTCCTGAAGGACACTGTGCAAGCCCGTCATGTAGATGCAGCAAAGCAGCCTGCAGCCCATGCCGGGTCCCAAGGTGTGAAGGGTGCGTTGGACAAGTCGCCCCCGCCACTGCCTCTGGGGTGAGTGCCAGAGGTGGAGGTCTTGCTGTCCTCTGATAGAAATGTTGTGATGGAAAAGCATGTTCGTTTTCTCATTAACTTGAGGTCTGCGCTCATGAGAGCTATCGGTTGTTGTTTTTCGTAGATCTTCATGTGGATTAGAGGAACAAAGGTGGGCTTTTGGGGAGGACAGGGCTTTTGGGGCAGAAACGAGCCCTCTGTGGAGCTTTACCTTGGATTTGGGGATACGGTGTTCTGAGGTCTGTCAGCTGGGGCCGCAGCAGTGTCCAGGAACCTCTGGTCCAGCCTAGTTTTGCCTGCACTGGTACGCGTGGAGGGTGAATGGTGGGCATCCTTTCTGAGGGGGTGTTAGATGGAGCGGGTCGCGGCGAGCACTGTTCCTCAGTATGCTTGGCCGCCTATCTCCCCTCTCCCCCTCCTGTGACCATCCTCTTGGCTCAAAGTGTTCTTGCAAAAATACATCTGAAATAACTTTTGGTTCCTCTGGTGGGATTGGAGAAGGAGAGAAAAAGGTCTAATGGCTTATGGGTTATTCTCTTTCCATATTAATCATGATGGTATCAAGCCTGTTTTTAAAGGACTTATTGTATAGATTAAAATTTTATATCATCCCACATAGCCTTATAGAATATGTAAATATGGGTCACACAATAAATACATTGTGCTACAGAAAATATTTTGCACTACGTAGTTTCCTAAGTAATAAAGATATTCTGGCTGTTGTGTATTGTACTGTACAATTCCCATTCAAGTTTAGCTTTACCAGATACTAAGAAAAAAGCCTATTTTCTAACACTATACTGTAAGCATTTCTCAAAGGGATTTAAGAGGCTGACAGCAAAAGGAAATTGAGTTCTGTTAGGAAGACAAATCAATGAGATCTAGTGCCCCTTCTGTCATGTTTCTGCAATTGCCTTATCAATGTGCAAGCTCTGTGAGTTTGGGAAAGGAACATTCACAGGCACTGCAGCGACTACAGAGCTAAGTGGAATGGGGACGCTGGCAAGGAACGAACTGGTAAGAAAAATGCTGTATTTCTCATCTGTTGAAAACAGATGCTATCGCATTTGGCAAAAGAGACAAATTAATCCATTCCATGCTCTCCTTTGAGTCCCCCCTTCTGTACAGAAGTGTTTATCTGTTTCACAGCCAAGCAGTTTCATATTCAAAGAAAAGATGCAAATGCGAAAAGGAACTGCAATAAAAATGGACTGTATCAAACCACTTTCCATGCAGGGGTCTTTGTAGGTACCAAATGTTGTTTGACTAGTGACAACAAATGCTACTACTGAGCCTCACTGCACTGCCAGTTGCACTTCATGATTAGTGTTGCATTGCTAAGACCCTTATCCCACCCCCCTCGACTCACGCTTGTCGGAGCTGTGCAGCATCCCACAGGCGGGCTCCGACGGGGAAAACAAATCTCCTTTGGAGGTGATTTGTCTCGTCCTTCATCGGAAACGGCAGCAGTGGGCAGCAGTGAAGAAGAGTCTGTTGGAGCGCAGTGCTATGCCAGACCCTGTGTGGATCGTCTCTGTTGTGCCGGGCTTGGTGCATCCCCCCCGGGGGCCGAGCCTCCCCAGGAAAGTCACCCACATGGCCGTACATAGGTGATGGGATGGGGATGAAGAGCCTTGCCATAAACAGCTCTAATGTGTGGTATGATACAGCAAACTGCAGCAGAGAGCTCCATCAGGGCACTGTCGTGGATGGGATGATTTTCTGGCAATCTGCCAATTAGGCAAACTTCAGGTTTGTCTAGCCTGGCCAAGTGGAGTAGCTTTTTGGCAATTTTGGTATATGTTTCATGTGTGGTTCTTAGTTTCAAGATGAGATGCTGTCCTGGTTTCAGCTGGGATAGAGTTAATTGTCTTCCTAGTAGCTGGTACAGTGTTATGTCTTGGGTTCAGTATGAGAAGAATGTTGATAACACACTGATGTTTTCAGTGGTTGCTAAGTAGTGTTTAGACCAAGTCAAGGATTTTTCAGCTTCTCATGCTCAGCCAGCGAGAAGGCTGGAGGGGGACAAGAAGTTGGGAGGGGACACAGCCAGGGCAGCTGACCCAAACTGGCCAAAGGGATATTCCATACCATGTGACGTCATGCCCAGTATTTAAACTGGGGGGAGTTGGCCTGGGGCAGGGATCGCTGCTCGGGAGCTAACTGGGCATCAGTTGGCAAGTGGTGAGCAATTGCATTGTGCATCACTTGGTTTGTGTGTTCCAGTCCTTTTATTATTATTGTCATTTTATGACTGTTGTTGCTATCGTTACTGGTTTCTTCCTTTCTGTTCTGTTGGCCTGTTCTTGTCTCAACCCATGAGTTTTATCTTTTTCCTTCCAATACTCTCCCACTGAGTGGGGGGGAGTGAGCGAGCGGCTGCGTGGTGCTCGATTGCTGGCTGGGGTTAAACCATGACAGACACGCTCAGAGCAGGTAGAAAACCCTGCAAGAGCAGCAGTAAATGGAGATGTGTGCAGTTGAACGTAGCTTAGTCTTCCCTGAAGAAGAGGGAATTGCGCCCACTACCAGCAAAGTAAAACACTCTCAGCTTGGCATCTTGTGTGGAAAGGCTGCGCTTTCCTCCCGTTGGATCCTGCTTTACCTGCAAAGATGGGTGAACCCGTGTATGGGGCACTCGGCTCCCAAAAGACCCCGTTACACGCCCCGGGGCAGTGTGCACGCAGGCGTGCTCCCGGCAAACATGCAGGGTGGGTGGATGGACTAGGGTGCAAAGAAGGAAAAGGGGCTGGAAGCAAATGACCCCCACCAGGAAGGTTAAAGCTGAAGGAAGAACCCAAATCTTGAGTGCCAGCCCTGCTCTCTGGTACCAGCTTCCCTGCCGTGCTTCCAGCAGAGCTCCCAGGAGCTGACACCGACCCCGCGTCTCATCTTGCATTCCAGCCCAAACAAGCTGTAAATATTTTGCACGTTTTTTTTTGCGTTGCGCTGGGCTTGGTTTCTAGGCTAAACCCTCCTGTTAACTGCTGATGGGAGAGTTTTCCAGAGAAGCTGGCAAGAAGCAGCGTGAACGTGCTGATGTGAATTTCGACGTTAATCTTCTGTAAATCGAGTGGCACATTTTTAAGGGACGGCCAGGAGAAATCTGAATAACGTTTCCATAGCACTCTGCGAGCCCGCGCTATTGAGATGAAATCTCATGGATGGAATTCAGTAGACGCAGCTGCTGTATCAGCGTCCAAATAATGTGCTGTTCTGTTCAGAAGCAACCCATAAATAGCAGGGCCGCCTGCGCCGGCCGGCAGAGCGGAACCACGCCGGGAGAGGTAGCGGTGGCACTGCTTGGACTGGAAGGGGCTTTAAAAGAGAATTAGCATGTCTGAGTCGAGGTCTCGCTATAGCGAATGTTTTGCTAACGCTTGGCGAGAAGTGATGCTGCAGGGTTTTGATTAAGGATGCCGGTCAAACTCGGTTTCTTTTATTCGTTTCCTATTAACCTCTCGACAACCCCTTGCGTTAGCATGGCGAGAGCAGGCGGGGGAGGCGTGTTCGGCCAGGGTTTCCTATTCGAGTAGGAACTTTGTGAGATGGTCCTGGAGAGTGAGGAGGGGGCTCTTGCTGCTGTCCTACCAGCCAACTGCCTGGGGGTCTGATGCCCCCCTGGGACGCTGGGCTGTGGGAGAAAGGGGGAGCTGCCAGATTTACATTAGTGGGGAAAGATGTCAGCAGCTGGAAGCTGAAACCTGGCAAATTCCTGCTGGAAACAAAGGACAGGCTTTTAGACACGAATTTAATGAGCAACTGGGGGAACTGGCCAGGGTCAGAGAGGGATCCTGTGTCACTTGGAAGATGGCTTGGTTCCGTCATGGGCTCTCTGGCCCCACGGTGACGCCCGGGTGAGGATGCAGGGCCCACGTGCAGGAGGGGAGAGGACGATAGATAACGGAGTGCTTCCTTTTAGCCGGGACATCCCTGGGGATTTACAGCTGCTGCGTTCGGGTGGAACTGTGTTAACTTTTGCTTCCTGTTCTCATGTCAGCTTCATCTTTTCTATTTTATTAAGCACTTCATAATTTAAAGGCTGATACCCCACATAAAAGCGATGCTGTTATAACCTCTTACAACTTGGGTTTTCCAGGCACAATGACTGAGCAGCAAAGTCCCCCCGAGCAGATGGCGACTGGGGAGGGTGCTGGCGAGCGAGGTGGCAATTACAAGGTATACTGGGGGCAACTGGTTACAGATGGACTTCGGGTGATGCAATGCTGTAGGTCACTGTGCGTTGCAGCGTGCAAGGCTGGTACCGGTGTCAAAGTGCTGCAGGTTGCACTGGGGAAGCAGATGGCCTCCGGCTCTCCTAATGCAGCGGCACATTAGTGTCACTGCTCTGATAAATCTGCTCCTCGCCCACCGAGCTGAGCTGTGCAGGGCTGCGGGCCGGGGAGGGAGGCTTCGTCCAGGGGATTTGCTGCTGCCTGGCAGGAGGAGACGCTGCTCGCTGCGTTTGTGGCTGCCAAGTACATTTGCCTGCCGGTCTGGTGTGCAGCTGCGCAGCATTTTAATTCAGGAGATGAAAGTATCCCGTCACGGTGGGGATCGCCTGTTGGTTTGAGCAGTGAAACTCCCTGGGTGTTTTTTTAGGTTGTAATTCTTATGCTCGTAGGTTGGTTAGAGGTAAATCAGCTGTGGGTGTTGCAATGGCTGCAGCTCATCCTGCAGCTTGGGAAGCTGGCTCCTGGCCGGGGAAGGCTGGAGGTGGGAGCAGATCCTGCAAATGGGGTAAAGAGGTGCTGGGAGCTTGGGCTGCTTATTGCTTTGGGATGGAAAGAAGTTCCTGAGGACCAAGGGTGTCACCACCATCCCTTGACACCCTCCCATCACGTGGTGTCTGTAGGAGGCTCTGTCCTTGTCCCGGGTGCAGGGGTTTCAGCTGGGACCCCTTTAGGGCAGGGGCTGGGGGGTGCCTGGCCACACGTGTGTGCAGCCTGGCTGCCGTGCTGACCCTCCTGGTCCCCAAGTTGTGCCAGGCACCCTGGGCCATGCTCCCTGCTGTGCTCCGGCCACTGGTACTGGCTTGAACTTGTCCTGCAGCTCAACCTCAAAGCTCTGCTGAGAGCAGGGGGTCCTGAGGAGGTGTTGTAGTCTCTGCACCTGGCAGGGCTTAGAGGAAAACACCGAAAAATGAGCTTGTTCCATGAGGTGAATGAGGTGAAGCCAGGGGAAATGAATGGATCTGGAGGGAGCAGTGAGAAGGAAAGGACGGGCCATGACCAGGCTGGGGTTGGGACACCACAGCCCGCTGCCCCGGAGGTCTCTTAGCACAAACCCTCTGCGTTTTCACTGCTGTGTTTTCAGCCTGTCATGGATGAAATACCGGTCCATGTTTTACTGAGCAAATGTCTTTGGCTGTGGAGCGAAGCCTGGGAGCTGTCTGTCGGGGCAGAGGCACGTGGCAGGATCCAGCCCTGCTGCAGGAGAGGAGTGACGTCGGGGCAGCGGGAACGGAGGGGACACGGCTGGAGCACTTTGCTCTGCTGCTGCTTGCATTTGCCAAGGGGGGGTCCTGCACCAAGTGCAGGGCGCTTCCCCCCGACGTGGCTGCAGCAGCAGCCGACGGCATCTCTCCCCACTTTAGATCACGATCTACGAGCTGGAGAATTTCCAGGGGAAGAAGTGTGAGCTGACGGAGGAGCTCCCTAACATCACTGAGAAAGAGCTGGAGAAGGTGGGCTCCATCCAGGTGGAGTCTGGCCCGTAAGTCCAGGGTGCAGAGGATGGACAAGCCCCGGGGTGAGGGGGTAGGGGACAGGGAAAGCATCCCCCACCTCCCGCTCACGGGCAACAGCAGCACTGCCTTGTGCTGGCGTGCTCCCCCCGTGCGCGAGTGGCTGTGCTGTCCCCAACCCTCCGGTCCCGCAGGTGGCTGGGCTTCGAGCGGCAAGCCTTTGCCGGCGAGCAGTTTGTGCTGGAGAAGGGCGACTACCCACGCTGGGACTCCTGGTCCAACAGCCACAACAGCGACAGCCTGATGTCCATCCGTCCCCTCCAGATCGTGAGTAGCAGCTGTGTTGGGGTGTCTCTGCCTCCAGGGACAAGCAGCATGGCCACAGCAATGGGGACTGCCAGGCTGGGAGGGTCTCGGGGGGCGGGGGGCATGCAGGGCAGGGCAGCCCCTGACCCGTGCTTTCCCCCAGGACAGCCCCGACCACAAGATCCACCTCTTTGAGAACGCGGGCTACACCGGGCGGAAGATGGAGATCGTGGATGATGATGTCCCCAGCCTCTGGGCCCACGGCTTCCAGGACCGCGTGGCCAGCGTCAGGGCCCTGAATGGAACGTAAGGACGGTGGCACTGGGGACATGCGGGGACATCCCAACGAGGCCCCATCCCGTGGCACCGTGGTTGGTCCCCCCCGGGGTGGTGGCAGAGATGCCTGGCACAGCCCCTGCAGCAGGGACAGGGCAGCTGTGCCCACGATGCTGCTCGTGCCCATCATGTCCCTTGCTGCCTCCCCACTGCCACCCTTTCCCTGGCCCGCAGGGAGTGAAGGGGACCGAGGCGGTGTCACTCGGGCTGTGTGACAGCTCCTCGCCCTGACCCAGGGCTCTGCTGGGCACCGCTGCAGGAGCGGTGGAGCCATGGCCCCTTCTGTGCCCTGGGCTCTCCAACCCCTCCTGGCACGATGGCGTTTCCCACTCGGGCTCTGCAGCTGCAGCCTCATTGCAGGGGCACTTGGTGCTGATGATGGAGCAGCAGCCCGGGGCAGCTCTGCAGAGCATCGCGTGGCTGCGGTGGGCAGAGGCACCGGCACAGCCTCTGGGGTGGTACGGGGAAGCTGCCCTCCCGCTCTGGGCAAGGGGACACGTGTCTACTGGGGGTGGGGGGCTGCAGCTGGGCAGCCGGAGCTGACCCCGGGGCACTGCTGAGCGCTGCCTCCATCCCCTGCAGGTGGGTGGGCTACGAGTACCCGGGGTACCGGGGCCGCCAGCACGTCTTCGAGAAAGGCGAGTACCGCCACTGGAACGAGTGGGACGCCAACCAGCCCCTCATCCAGTCCGTGCGCCGTGTGCGGGACCAGCAGTGGCACCAGCGGGGCTGCTTCGAGAACAGCTGAGGGATGCCCCGGCCCCCCCACTGCCCCCGCTGCCGCCCATGCTGGGGACCGGCTGACGTGATGCCGCTGGCTGATGCCGTGACGTTGGTGTTTTTTTTGTGCAAAAACCTTAATAAAGCTCTGAGCTGGAGGCTGCTGGGGGCCTGCCCGGTCCTGGGCTGGGGTCATGCTTGTGTGGGGGTTGCAGTGAGTGGAGCTGTGGTCTGGGGATGGTGGGACGTGGATGGGTGCCGTGGCAGTGCCCCCAGCATCTCCTGTGCTGAGCAGAAATGGGGAAAGAGCGAGTATTTGCAGTGTTATGTAAAGGTTGCAGCTTTCAAAAAATAACTCCCTGTGGTACCGTGGCACGGTGCTGACATGGCCAGCATGCGGAGGCGAGCCCTGGGACAGCTCAGCCCTGAGAGGGATGGTCTCAGGGCATTTGCCAAGGGTTTTTCCTATGACTGTGTCCCTTCTCAAAGCAAGTCCCTGCGCCCGGGGAGCTCTGCTTGCGGCTCCTTCCCTACTTTCCTAAGCCCTGCCTGCTCTGCTGCGGAATGGCATCCAGCCCAAAGGGGTTGGTGGTGGCTTAGGGGGTCCTGGGGTACATGGGGAGCCTCAGGGCCCGTGGGGCTGGGGTGGCCCCAGGAGCAGTGGGGATGGGGAAAACCATCATCCCTGGGTGGTGCCAGGCCTTGTGCACCCCAAAGGGGGTCTCACCTCGCAGGCTGAGGGCTGTGCCCGGCCCCAGCACCCTGCAGGGCCCCCAACCCGGCCCTGAGCAAGCTTCCCACCAGCACCCAGGGCTGTTGCTCCCTGGGGATGATCTCTGACATGTGGGGCAGCCGTTCTGGTTGCAAAGGCAGAGGTTAGAGGGTCCTCTGGGCCACGTACACTGAGGGTGCCGGTGGGAAGCTGGGCATCCCAGCATTGAGTAACCTCAGCTGTGCAGGCAGACCCCTGCCACGGGGGCACAGCGGCTGCGTTTGGGGACCACCTGAGGCTGGTGGCAGAGCTAGGAGATGTGCTCAAAGCTGCCCGAGCACTTCGTGACGGGCACCAAACAGCCGCTCCAGAGCTTTTCTTTCTGGACCTGGGTTTGCCGCTATTAAAGGAGATTGCGTGGCCCTGAGCGGCAAAAGCTGTTTCCAGCACAGTCCACGGGGCTGCCTGTGGCTGCCCGCGGCATCATCGCTGCCCATGGCTGAGATGAGTGAAAACCGGCCCGGCAGAGCTAAGCGAGGGAATCGCAGCCCGGCAAGAGCCATGCTGAGCACCATGTCTGCCACTCACTGGGGTGCGCGAGGGGCCGGGATGTGCCAGATGGAAGCCACGGGGATGCATGTGCCCTGCACTGGGACCTGGGGCGGGTCCATGGGGGTCCTGGCCCAGGCACCCCTATGAATTAGCCCAGGGAGATGGGGAGGACGGTGGCTGGATCCCTCTGCGGTGCTGCAGCTGGAGGCACAGGGAATGAAGGATGGTGGCGAGACCGGGAGCCTTGTAGGCACTTGCTCAGAAACCCGACCTGCCAAAACCTGTCGGTGGCATGGCGTGAATTCTTGCAGAGCCACATGGTCGCCTGTGGCCCCCACAGCCCCTTGAGGCCCCATCACCCACAGCCGGGGCACCTGCAGACTGTGGGGACCGACCCCTCTCTGCGTCGCTGCCAGGGGAGGCTCAAGTCGCAATACGGCAGAGGTGACCCTGCGTGCGGCCGTGCTGGAGCTGGGGGGTGGCCAGAGGTGCCATTGGGGGGGCTGTAGCATGCTGGCACGGACATGGCTGGTGGCACATCTGCTGCGGGACCCCCATGAAATGTTGCATGCAGGAGAGAGCTGGTCTGGGCCACGTTACTGCTGTGTGACACTTGCTAGGGTGACGAGGGGGATCCCACTTCTGCAGGGGCTGAGAGGGGGCTGTGGGTGCTGCACAGCACCCAGGGAGTCTGATAGCTTTTTTTGTCATCCCACCCCACTGCAAAACTCACTTTGCTGCAGCTAAAATCAGCCCACGGTCCTGACGTGTCCTCCCAGGTCAGCCGGCAGCAAGATGCCCCGAAGGGGTTTTGCTGCTGTCCTTAACCCCCAGCTCGTCCCTGGGCAGGTGCTGCCCATGCCAGATACAGGCCGGGTATGGGGTCATGTCCCAGGATGCGAGCTCCCGCTGCTGACCTCAGCTTTGTCCTGGTGTGATGGAGGGACCTCCGTGCTGCTGTTCCTGCGGCCCTGTGGGGCTGAGACGCTTCTCAGGGACCTCAGATGGGTGGGGGGATAATGGAGAAGGAGCCCAACACCTGGCACTCAGGTGCCCCCACGCTCAGGCTGAGGATGCTGCCCGGTGCTGACCCACTGCATCGTGCCACCAGGACCAGATCCTGCCCCGGGCCATCCCCGAAGCGCCGGGTCGGCCACGGGAGACGGCAGCGGGAAGGGGGTCCCGTGGCGTCCCCAGGCCCGGGAGCCTCGCAGGGTCCCTCTGCGGCAGCACCGGCATCGACACTGGCACCGGCAGCGGGGTGCGGGCGCTCCCTTGCTGGGGATGCAGACGGGCAGAGCCAGACGTTTACCAGTTATTTGAAGGCTCATTTTATCGCGCATGGAAAGAGCCAACTTCAGCAGTTTTCAGCAGTTCCAGCGGCGGGGCGGCTCGCTGGTTTGTTGGAGGGATAAAGTCTCTGGCTCCAAAACTCCTGAAGCAGGGCTGGCGGGCGCTTTGTTTGCAAGGGCCGGTCTGGGTCTTGGCATGCATTCGGCTGATGCATGCAAACTCCAAATCTCCTTGCCAACAAACCCAACAAAGCGGGTGACTCGAATGTGAAAGCTAATGAAATAACTCTCCGACTTGGTGTTTGGGGAGACAAAGGCTGCGGCTGATCAGCTGACCTTGGTTTTCATTGGGTTTTAATCCAGCATTCTCGCTTTGAATCATGCTTTAACTATTTTGTAAATAGTTTTGGCACCATTCTTCTGCGGCTCGGTATAAATTCCACCTCTCGGCCCCAGCCCTTCACTGGCTCAAGCGGGTACTGGTATAACTGGTAAGACTTTTCTATTTATTGTGCTCTTTTTTATCATTGCCTCCTCCCGACCCCCGGTGCCGGAGCTCCCTTCCGCAACGCCAGGCAGAGGTGCGGAGGTGGCAGTGGGATGCGGGCATGCTGGCCGGGGGTGAGCTGCAGGGATGGTCCTGTCCCTGCAGCCCAAACCAGGTGGCCAGCTCAGGAGTATTGCCGTCTGGCTGTGGCTCGGTTTTTGTTTTATTGGGAATGAGCCGTTTTCACCTGCTTTGGAGCCTGCTCAGATACTGGGGGTCCCACTGGGCTTGAGAACGAGGGTCCTTCGTAGGGGCTGCTGTGCCAGGCGGAGCCGGGAGGGCTTGGCACCGGCGACCCTGCACAAGTACATGCACATGCCTGTGCATGGCCGGGGCTGGCGGTGGGAGCCCTGGTGCTTCTCCCCATCACCCCATTCAGGCACTCATGGGACAGGGACTCCTCAGCTGTCACTTGCTGGGCAGGGACAGTAGGAAAAGCCTTGGCTGCAGGGGCTGGGCTCCCCCGGGAATGACTCGGGAATGGCCTGGGCTCATGGGTCCCCTCGCTCCCGGCTGGAGACCCTTTGCAGGTTCCACCATGGGTGATGCTGCCCTAGGACTATCGCCTGGGCTCCTCCATGAGCCTGGGGAGGTTTGTGGTGCTGAGCAGCCCGGAGCAGGGACTGGGCCTAGAGAACCCAGCCTGCGCCCGCCCCACTGCGAGCCCCAGCCCTGGCACCCCTCTCCCCTTTCTGGGCAACTCGGCAGCAAGCAGTAGCCAGCGGCCGGGCAGGCTGTGGAGCACAGACGTGGGGCACGGACACGGGGCTGTAAGCACAGTCCTGAGTGCATCCTCAATTGCAGCTTTTAACCTTCTGAGTTTTCCTCTCAAGGCAGCGGACAACCCAGCTTATAATGGCTTCCGAGCACCAAATGCCAGCCTCCAAGCAGCAGCAAGCCAGCTCCAAGGTCAGTGTGTGGCTTCTCTGCTCTGCGGCAGGGCCCGTGCACCCTCAGCCTTGCCGAGCACCCAAATTATCCCCCCGGGACTCCAGCGAGGCTAGGAGCAGCTGAGCTGCCACCATGCAGCCCCTCACCAGCACCCCGCGGTGCTACTGGCTGGTGCTGACCGTCGCCGGCTGCGGTGCCGAGCCGTTCGCAGAGGGACGAGGGGACGGGGAGGAGGGTGGGAGATGCATAGGATTTTGCTGGCATCCCACGGCCCCAGTACAGGCAGAAGCGGGTGGGAACGGATCAACTCCTAACCTCCCGCCACCTCTGCAGACACAGCAGATCTGCCCCCGCCGCCCCACTGACCCATGAAATCTGTGCTGAGCTGGCGGCTCTCGGCCCCCCGGGCTGCCCCAGTGCCTCCCCCGTGTGTGCTGGGTGCCCTGCTCGCTGTGTCCCGCCGGCAGCCGCGATGCTCGAGGCAGAGCCTGGGTAGCTCAGCGGTTTGAAGTCTGGTGTGAGCGCAGGCATCCCTCTGTGAGCAGCACCAGGGCGCTGGGCCGGCGCTGGCAGGGACTCGCAGGCATCCAGGAGCGAGAGCTGTGTGCTCAGAGGGATGGAAATGTTGGTTCGTGCTTGCAGGCTGGTTAAAAGCCACTGATACGCAGGTTTTGGGGGGCAGCGCGAGGTCTGGGCTGCAGCAGATGTGGGGCTGGGCTGAGCCAGTGGTTGGGGACAGCGTGTGCCCCCCACGTCGTGGTGCCAGGGGTGGCGTGCCCCACTCTGAGGTCCCCACTCTCTTTCAGATTGCCATCTTTGAGCAGGAGAACTTCCAGGGTCGCTGCCATGAGCTCAGCGGTGCCTGCCCCAACCTGAAGGAAGCCGGTGTGGACAAAGTGGGCTCCATCCTCGTGCACTCCGGACCGTATGTGCTGGGGGGGCTGGGAGGTCACGGTGGTGCATGGGAGGGAGGCAGGGGCTGGGATGTGGAGGGGATCCCCCCATTGCCGGCACGTGCGCTGCACCCTGGATTTCATGTGGCCAATGCTGCTGTGCTGCTTCCCCACCTCGCCCCAGTGGGTGCCCAGTGCCAGTGGGCAAACAGGGGGTCACTGGGTCCCCTGGGCGGGCTGGTATCCCCCAACCCTGCTTGGTGAGAGGG